GTGATACTAATTAGTGCCACATTACATGTTTGATTATATTATTAAATGTTATGTATATCATAGGAAATGGATCTCGCTTGTATTATACTATTGATGCATGTGTTAACGTAATTAGGAAGATTTCAGTAGTCTTGACTTATGTATTCGAATTTCGATATCCCAAGACCTTTTAAAAAAGTACTTTGGTAGTTATTGTCTTTTTTTTTTTTTTTTTGGGCATACGTAATTAGGAATATCTTAGTAGTCTTGGCTTATATATATTTTAAGTAAAAGTGAAGCTCTTAACATATAATATATGATTTATTAGATCAAGAGTTCAACACGGAAGTACGTAGTACTTTGTTTGGGTGGAATTAGAATTACTTCCTAATCACGACTTTTCTAAATTAGTTGGGAGAATAATATTGGTATGTTTTTGTCAAAAGTATTGGTCAAGCACTTGATATTTGTTAGTGGTCTAATACGAGGTTCCAATTGGCAAGTGAAGTAATTTAAAACAAACTTTCCAAAAAAGTAGGTTTGTGTGGATTGACTATATGACCCTCTTTGATTATGCTTCCACATAACACGATATTTATTCAACTTACTATTAGAATTGTGGAAGTGAAATAAAAATTTAGGATAATAAAATTTTTAATTAGTGTTATACATAGTACTTTTCTCACTTTAATGTTATGTTGAATAAATTTAATATTACTTTCCTTATAATTTCTATGTTATAAGTAATATATATGTATATATAGGGTGTTATTATGTAATCTAGTGAGAGGCCACTCTAACATCATGTAGAAGTGGACAACATAACACGTATAGTCGTCAAATGCAACATTGACGGGCAAAGGTATAACACCAAAAAATTTAATCATGCAAACATTATATTACATCGTTTTAACGTTAATGTTGTAATGTTGCATCGGAACCATCATATAAAAACTATATACATGTGTATATGTGTGCATCAGTGCATGATATGAAACTGCTGTGAAATGTCAATGTAACCGAAGGGATTTATAAACAATAAATATAGGATGGAAGAAGTTGTCTCATTACGCCGCGTCATATGGACAAACTGAGCGCTTCATATTTTGCCAAAACAAATGCTTAATGAATGACCCTTGTCTTCACCTTTAAGCTTTGATTGTCGGCAGTATGGAGAAAGGGAGATTTGGAGCTTGGAGGATTCCCATTATCAAATTTAATCACAAATAAGTCGGTTTCAATTTTTTTTTTCTTCATTATCATGACAACTAATTATGTTTAGATTTCTTTTTCCATTGCCATCACAAATAATTCGCGTTTTTTTTTTTTTTTTTAATACGATGACCTTTGAATGTGAAAGACTTACAGAACCGTAACATTTTTGGTGAATATGATAACCAGCTATATATGCTTAACAGTTTGTTCACGACATTAATATATCTTACTTTGGTGGCTGGATCAATTTTATTTTGTCGGACTCATTCCGTACAAATTCAATTCTAAATTCGCCTATAAATTAAAAACTACGTAAAAAAAAAAAAATAAATAAAATTTGCTTCATGGCTATTTGACATATTCTTCAAACTCGAACTCAAAAACAAACACACTTTTTTGAGGGGGTGTTCTTTTACATTTTTTAGGTAGGGTGACTTGAGTGATGATCTTAAGTTGAGTTTGAGTTATAACTTGAATTGAAGTTGTAACTTGAGTTTGTGTTTGAATGTGCACATTTGAGTTATGATTTGAATTGAGAATCTTTTTGAGTTTGTATTTTGGTAGTCAAAACTTAAATTTATATTTACATAGTATTTTAATAAAAACTCAATGGTGATGAAAAATTTTAATAGCGTATATGGGTGAGATTTTATTCATCTTTTCGTTGTGAATGCATAGAAAAAAAATCATCTCAATCAAACTTAAAACGAAAAAGTTATGGCATTTTTAAAAATAGAAAAAATAATGTTCATTAACTTGAGTTCGAGTTTATGAACTCGAGTTGAAGGGAAAACTTGAACTCGAGTTTAGCTCTAAACTCGAGTTCAAACTTAAATTTTACAAAAGAACATGAACTTGAATAAAGTTGTAACTCGAGTTTAAATTTTTTCTGAGTTTCATTGTAAAAGAACAACCTCTGAACTCTTGTAAACAAGTTCTAAGCTCATTCAGAAATCTTTTTTTTTTTTCCTAGCATGAACTTAATGAAAATTTCATTCAACCTATTGTCGGATTTTGTATAAAATTAATTTCATAAATAACCCCTAAACTTTTTTCCGTCTCAAATGGCTCTGAATTTTTCAAAGGATTCATTTTACCTTAAAATTTTGTATTATAGTTCAAAATATATGAAATAACCTTAGTTTAGGAAGTGTTTTGAAATACTTTTCATAATTTGAGGAGCGAAAATGAACCTTTTTAAAAGTTCAAAAACAGATAAAAACATAATACAAAATTCAGAAGGCATTTATAAAATTTATATTCACTCTTCCACCATATGAACTCCAAAACTCCCAGTTTTCAAGTAAAAATCGTAGTAAGTAAAATGCAGAGAAAAGAAAAGGAAAAAAAAAGCTACTTTTATTTTCAAATAAAAACCTATTACAATTAGAATAGATGAAAAACAAAAATGGCATGACTAATGAGTGATTTTTTCTTTTTTTGAGAAAAACTAATTTAGTAATGTTTGTTACTTCATAATTCACATCAGATATTGGTTTTATGCACCAGTCTAATACATATGATTTATGAAACTTGTGTAGAATTATGAGAGGTACTCAGAATAACTAACAAGCAACAAACCGAGCTACAACTACAAATTTAGAGACTTGCCAGAGGCCTGTCACTGTTGACATGGTCGCGACCCAACCCAACCTATTTCAATATTTTAACCGGGTCGATGTTTCGAGCATAAAAGCTTGTTTGGGTTGGCCTAGCCGGAACACCTTTTAAAAAATTTAAAAAAAAATTGTTGAGTTAAACTTACCTTTAAAGTATATAAGTTTAGATTTTTTACTCTTACTCTTGAATAATACATTTTTTATTGATATAATTATTTGATTAGAAATAAATAATGTTTGTAGGTCAGACATCAAATAGGTACTATTTAAAGGTATATTTGTCTCATATTCTCAAAATTTTAAAAATAGAAGGAAAGAGACAAATATCCCATAAAGTGCATAGCTCTAAATTTTTATTTTTTACTCTTCATTAATATCATTTTTAGTCAAATAACTATATTAATCAAAAAGGTATTAATTAAGAGTAATGTGTAAAAATCCAAGTCATACATACTGTTTAAGGATAAGTTTAGTAATTTCCTCTTAAAAATATCTTATGAAGTTTTGGGTTTGCTCGGCCCTAGGCCCATTGGGCTTAAGGGTCGAGGTGGGCCGATCTTCTCCTTTTTTTAGGGTCGGCCCAGTGAAATTAACAAGTAGGTTTCCCCAACTCAAAATTCTCATTTAACTGAGCGACTCAAACTTTCACATCTAAATTGATTATTCCATATCAAAAATTGATTGGTTTGATTTATACATTTCCTCATTTTCATTAATTTAACTAATGGTTTTAGAAAATTTCAAACAATGATCGATTAAACCAACAAAAATTCTTTGATGATTTTATTTTAAAAATTATTTGCTTATAGTTGATATTTTTATTTTCATATTTGTGATTACACCAATTTTTATTTTCATATTTGTGATCTTTCTAATAACTTGTTTTTTATATTTTATTATTTAAATAAGATTTCAACTAATTACGAGACTTTAAAAAATATCCAATAATTCATTCTACATGATAGACTCAAATTATATATATTAGTTATCCGATTTAAAATCTAAACTTATGAAATCGAACTAATTAACGGACTATATATAATCTGATTTGGTTAGTGATTCTTTATATTTTAGTTATCTGATTTAAAATCAAAACTGATGAAATCGAACTAATTAAACTGACTATAAAAAAATCTAATTTGGTTAGTGATTCTTTACATCAAAGTGACGTTAAACACGCTACCCAGCGCTACACATCCAAAATATAATAATAACATTCTTCATTGGGTACCATGCCTAAGCGACCAGTAAGAAATGAAAACGACATTGAAAATGGCATAAACGACGAAACTTAAAATATCATCCGAACATACACGCACAAAACGGTGAAGCAGCGATTATGGGGTAAGATTCATCGTATGGTTACGTCCCACCACCAGTAAAAACCCAAACCCAAAAACAAAAAAAATTAAAAAAAAATCAAAGTTCGACAACTCACCCAACACCCAGGGGGAGACGTGGCGCTCTCTGGACCACTCGTCGCTTGACAACGCCCGGAGATTAGCCGAGCCCAGAGCGGATAAAAAGTTAAAAAAAACTTTCCAAATTAAAAATTTTTAAATTTTTGATTAATTTTAATTAAAATAATAGATTGCCCGACAAAGCGACAACCAGATTTTGTGGACTGCAACAGCCTCAGGCTCTCCGCCGTCCACGTGTCCCTTATGGACTGTTCCGATCGTCTCCCACGTCCGTACGGTCCTCTCATAACCCAAATCCTCTTCCAAAAGATCCAGAATTTACCATCGACCGTTGCTATATCCGCGGGAATAGTGGGCAATGTTAGGGGTAATTTAGTCCTTTGGTTTATAACGTGGGGGCGTTGTGGTTATTTTGGTAATCAGTTGGGGGTTTTCTGGTAATATCGATAAAAATATTGGGAATGGGCGAGTTTGAGGAAGAAAGATATGTGGGGATATTTGTCAGAGTTTCAGTTAAGAACTTCCCTTCTCTCTTATTTCTCTCTCTTACTTACACACACACTCTCTCTTTCTCTCTCCTCTTTCTTTCTTTTGGAAACGCACGCACAAAATACTGATAAACAGCGAGAGAGATTCTCACTTTCCAGTCCCTTCCTTCCGCGGCAGATTTTCAGCGAATGTGAATAGTTTTTCTTTTCCGTGATTCTTTTTCTAAAAGAGAATTCGAATTTGGCCGGAGGTTTTTTTGGCGTTTGGAATTTGGTAATTTTTCTTTTTGCTTGAAATGCAAGACATTCATTCGGTCGGAGGCGCGCGATTCTTCGCGGCGGGCGGTGGCGGGGACCGGCGGCTGAGGCCACACCACCACCACCAGAATCCACAAGCGGCGCTCAAGTGTCCGCGCTGTGACTCGCTCAACACCAAATTCTGCTACTACAACAACTACAACCTGTCTCAGCCTCGCCACTTCTGCAAGAACTGCCGTCGCTACTGGACCAAAGGCGGCGTCCTCCGCAACGTCCCTGTCGGCGGAGGCTGCCGGAAGACGAAGCGATCGAAACCTAAGGCTTCTTCGGCTACATCCGCGGTGGCGGCGACGGCGAATTCGACTCCGCCTCCTCCGCCTTCGCAGGACCGGAAATCGAACTCTCACTCCAGCAGCGAAAGCTCCAGCCTCACCGCCGCCACGAACACAACGGCGACCGCGACGGAGGCGGTTTCAGCGCCGTCGGCGAGCGCGGGTTCGAATTTGATGAAGATGCATCAGGAATCGAAATTCTTCGTGGCTCAGAGCTCGCCAAACCCTAGCTTCGAGGCTCCTCCTTCGGCGCCGCCTTCGTTGCTCGAGCAAGCCGGCTCCGATTGCGGAATTTTCTCGGAGATTGGGAGCTTCACTAGCTTGATCGCTTCGTCGGCCACCGGAGCAATGCCTAATTTCGATTACGGCTCGATCTCCGACGTCTCGATCTCGCCGTTCAGGTTGAATCAGAATCATCATCATCAGCATCATCAACATCAGGCTCAGCAGAGCCAGTCGTGGCACGAGCAAAGCCAGAAGGTGACGATGAGCGTCGCTGATGATCAGGAATTGAAGATGCAGGAGATCACGGGTGGATTACTCGATCAGACGGTTCAGGTTGATTTGTCAGTCTTGCATGATAGCCGATCCAACGGCGCAGGTTTCGGATCGTTAGGAGACTGGCAACAGTGCGGTGATCAAGCTCTTTTTGATCTCCCTAACACTGTTGATCAATCGTACTGGAGTCAGAGTCAATGGACCGATCAAGACCACCCTAGTCTCTATCCTCCGTAAATCTCTCACCTTTTTTTAACTATTTGAAAAAAAAAAAAAAAAAAAAGCTCTCGACATTGCAAACCAAACAAAAGAAATAAAAAAAATCAGTGAGTTCCTTTTTTTTTTTTTAAATCTAAGAAAAGATTATGAATATGACTTTTCTTATTGCATGTAAATTTTTTAAATATATATGTTTTTCTATTTTTATGGGTTTAATTTGATGATTTTGGAAGTTGTTTTGGGGTTTTTTTTTTTTTTTTTTTTTTTATGTTGATGTTCGTGTAATTTGCAAGTGTAACTAACTTCCGATGTTATTTTATTTTGGGGGAGTTTTGTTATCGTATTTGGATTTAAAAATTAAACAAAATATAGAGAAGAATTACAGTGTTTATATATTTTTGCTTAATTTTCCTTCCTTTCTTTTATTATTAATTTGTTATTGTTTCATAATTCTCTCTCAAAAACTGCCAATAAATCGAGAATGCCACGTCATAACATGTCGACGATGGTTGAGTTTGAGTGAGTCGGTTGGAGGCGGTGTTATTGGGTCCCACAGGAGTAGTGATGAGTCCCCATGCGCGATTATGACTCTACGTGCGATAGGTTGAAGCGGGGCCCACTAGGAAAGCGGCATGAAGTCCTCGAATCGTGGGGGCCACGTGGTAGGGCGTGATAGGACGATCGGTGGAAGAGGTCGGTTTGTCTTGGCTCACGCAAATATTATCAAATATCAACTCAGTAGGATTTACCATTTAAGCGGAGTGCTGAAACAGGTTTGGAGATATTATGAAGTGCAAGTGAAGACGAAGATGGATGGTGCTGATGATCATGATCATGATGATGACGTGGAGCGTTTGTGCTTGTTGGGACCCACGTTAGGTTTTGTGGAGGGGTCCACTTGGGTTCGAGTGCGGGAGTGGTCTCCCCCTAGTAGAAGTGTACTAGTCGTGCATGGGTAGCTAGGGTAAATATACGAGGTATAATATATGGGGAAAAAAAAAATCGTACGTATCTTTGGCGCTGAAAATTGTCGTTTTCCCCCATGTGACAATTCTTGTTCACTTCCGTGTAAAAAAAATGTACAATGTTTTATATAGCAATTTCGATAAAAGGCACGTGATATGTCTATAAAGCTACTACGTGGGAAAACTCTAACTTTGGTACTACTTGAAGTCGTTTAGAAGAGAAAAAGATAACACTCCAACTTTTTTATTTTTTTATTTATTTTTTGGGTGAAAGCATGTCTAATAGACGATTTAAATTTTTATGAGAGTAAATACTTAAAAACATTTGAGTTGTGATTCAATTATGAACCAAACACCCACGATAATAATATCTATGTGGAGTAGACTCTAAAATTAAATAATTCAGTTTCATTTCTTAATAATGAAATAGCTAAATTGGAAAAACTCGTTCAAAAACGCCCCGTTTACATCTCCACTCCGACATACACACGATCAAGTGACGCGTTTTGGTATGACATTGAGTGACACTTCTCATGGTGCTGTGGCAAAATGTTGTTTGTATACATTAAGGACGTGGAAACTGGACCTAGGGTTTTTGGTACACTTTCTAGGCTATAGTATAAAGTATCATTTTAATGAATAGTAGAGTCCTGCATGGCCTGGAGGAAACTTTGACGTGGTTCCGGCAAGAATTTCAACCCTTTTAGGAATGTGAAGAAGGTACGAATACAAGAAAGTTTAGCTTGTAGCTGCTCGTAACTTAATATACATACATGTATGTATGTATATATGTATGTATGTATGCATACATATACATGTGTGTGTGTGTATATATATATATATATATATATGTATGTATGTGTTTAAGTGTGTGTGTCAGCACAAAACTAGGAAAAGCATATGTGTGGGCACGTGTTACGCCAAAAATTATAAATAGGAAAACCTTTAGAAATAATCATGATGTTTTTATTTGACTTTGAAAGGCTCATCTAGTTATGTATCAAATTGTTAGATTTGAATTTGAAGTATTCTGTTCCGTGATTTAAGAATTTAGTTATGTGATCTACTAAATATTGGCGAGTTTGAATTCTTTGCTACCAACCTTTGAAGAAAAGGGGAGGCATTTTAAACTGCGTGTCACTGATATAACAATTATGGTGCAACATTATAGTTAAGCATTTTTATTTTGTGAGCATTTTGCATAAATTTAGTACTCCAGATTTGAAATTTGGTGGATAATATTATTACAGGGAAAAATGTCCACACACACACACATATTGATGAATTCTCTATTTGTAGAGAGATGGAGAGATACGCATTGTTTCTCCCTTTTTTTTTTTTTTTTTTTTTTTTTTTTTTTTTTTTAAATTTTTTCCCCTTGTGTTTTTTTTTTTTTTTTTCTTTTTGATAGATCTTCTCCCAAAAAAAAAAATAAAAACAAAAGAGATGAAGTCAATTATACCTCATCAAAATCCCTAATTTTCTTATCAAATGAAAAATATTTGGTTTTGGCTCAAGTAGTAGTACAGGTTACGTTGAGGGCAATACAATATAGATAAGTTCAAATATTGTCAAATTAAATACACATAATAAATGAGAAAGATATATGTGAACCAATATTTTGATTTGGCACAGCCAAGTCAAAAGACAATTGAATGTGGTTGCTAATTTGCTATTGTGATTGATCGATAGGAAGAGAGGAGATAGAGAGAGAAATTGGATATTTATGTTTTTGGGCTCAAAATCGAGTTGAAAAGTGCTGCATATTGTGGACAGCCCAGCTTAGCTTGATTCGTACCACTTTGACAGAGATGGAAAACTAACGAATTGGTCTGAGAGAGAGAGAGAGAGAGATCAGTCAGAGATAACATAACATGGCCTGGTTGTGTTTTGGTGGTCCTTCTTTGTTTGGTGTGCGCTGCCCATAACACTCACTATTATTAGTTTCTTATGTTTTGGTAATATATATATATATATATATATATATATATATGGTATGGTGCATGTAACTCCATTTATTCTTCTAATGCCTCAGGAAAGAAGAAAAAATAAATCAATGCCACACACTGAATGAGTGGCCTCATCGTATAATACCCAAGATTTTTTATTTTATCTTTTAATGAAATCAAGTTTTATGTATTTATCAGACAATTAAGACAAGTTAATTAGTTTAAAAAGGGTTGTGAATCCACGTATCTTTTATTCTCTAATGTTTAAAGGCAAAAAAATCGTCACTAAATAGACATAAGAGAGTCTTGCTAGAGTAGGGATGTTAACGGGTCTGGAAGGAGATGTTCAGACCAATTTTAGCAACCCCATCCCATTGACATCTCTATGCTAGAGAGAGGTTACCTACCTATATGCGCTTTTACTCTAGATGTTTATATATCAAACTTGTCTTGCTTTTTATTTTTTTATTTTTTATTTATTTGGAGGGACGAACTCGTCTGATTTTAATTTGTCACTTAAATTCAGTTTTCATCAAGGAAAAAAAAACCAAAAATACCTCTAACCATAGTAAAAATATTTTAATTATGTCACTCCATTAAAAAATAAATAATTGTAATTCAATTAAAAAACAAAATATAAAAAGTAATGATGACACTTAATTATTTAAAATGATATAAATAATAAACCTGTACAAAACCATATAGAGAAACCTGTATATTTCTCTTTCATCAATCTTTGTGTTTTTAACCCTTGTACGCTATATATGGTGGGTTGCAAGTTGGTTTTGGAACTAATTATTGTGGAAGACAATCACACGGATTAATAATTATTGACAAAAACATCATAATACAGTATATTACAAGATCTTCTAGTAAATGATATTAGCTGGGTCTTATTCAATCAGCTTAAATATATACTTTAATGATTATCAACAGGTGATCGAATATATAGTCTAATGGTAATTCAACGCTTACTTCAAAATTAAGATATGATCATCCTACTCTAGGTTAAAAAAATATTAATATAATATCAACCAACAGTTTTTACTATATAATTGTGTATGATTAAGCACTTACACATGATCAGATCCAAATAATTAAAGATGAACATTATTGCTTTTAGAAGTTATAAGTTGTCCATAATAATACCACGGATTGTGGTAGCCTAGTGATAACGAAATATTATGGTGGATTTATGGTCAGATGTTCGAGTGATAGATTATTGATTTAAGGTATTAAATTTGAAAGATTGTTTCCTGTGAGCCTGATACTCAATTTAAAGTGTCTAAAATCACGTCCCTACGTACTCTTATCATTAACGTGTTCATAGGGCTTTCATATCCTCTGGTAATGCCTGATAAACTATGCTAACGCTTGTCGCACAATCTTCGGACTTTTCATCATGAAGAAAGAGGCTATCCAAATATTATTTAGTGGTGACCGTTAAGGTTAATTTCCTTAAAAATTCAGCATAGGCAATTAGTGGGTGAATCAGACAGAATCTTTTAAAATTCTAGGTGGTGTTTCATTTTCTAGTTATTGATTGGATAGTACTAGGTCCTTTTGGGCCTTTCCCCGTGGCCTCATAGCGGTACTACTTGACCAATTCTAAATAGATATAGATCGACCTAATCAACAGTACTACAACTTGAAAACTTAAGCACACCTGCTTAACAACCATATCATTGTTATCAATAATTTATATGAGCACTACACTGAAAAATGTGCAACCAACCTAATATATAGTACTCAAACTTGAAACATTCTAACTATTTGCCACCCTTAAACCGTACTTGCACGGTAGTGTTAGGTCACATTAGTTATTACTTTCTTGAATTGTGTCAAAAATAGAGTCATATTTCGAAAGGAGATCTACCTTATCACTGCTTCTTATCTTACAAGAGATGAGCACCACAATTAGAAAATTAAGTCCGGCTACTATAATAATGTTGGGTTCTGCCCCATTTGTGGGCTAGAACAACAAGTGGGCTTCAAGCCCAAATGATAAAAAAAAAAAGGAAGGCATGCTGCTCACGTGGGCAGCAAACCAGAAAAATAGAAAAGAAAAGAAGGAGAATCGGGAGAAGTAGAGTGCAGCCGAGGAAATTAGAGAAAAAGTGAGAGAGAGAGAAAGAGAAAAGGGGTAGGGTTTTGGTGTTTGTGTAAGATGATTGGGTGGCGAAACGTTGTCGGTTTCAGCTCAAATTTGACGTCGAGAATCCTTGTGGCGAGCTCTTCCAATCTACCGGACTTGAT